TCCGACTGGAATCAATCATTTCTATGTAGAATATTTTAGTTTGAGATCACATTAAATATAATACAATGATTTATGATGATTTTTTTCTTATCGATGAAAATAAATTTAATGAAAAAACAATTTGTTAGTAAAAAGTAGGGTGTGAGTGAAATAAATAAGATACACCCACACTCACACCCTAAATGATAGATTAGTAATTACTTTATCAATTACTACGGGTAACTTCATTGAATAATATGGGATCTATTATTAATTTTCTCTAATCTCAATTTTCGTATTTTATGATATTTATTTATATTATTAAATTTCTGATGGAATTCAACTTAGAAAATAAAAGAAAATATTTGACATAATATTTTAGATATATAAAACCAGTGTAAAACTAATCGTTTATTTTTTAATAACTAGGGCGTGGATGTGATAAGAATTCTATCTCACACCCACACCCTCAAGATTCAGCATTTTATGGTATCAATAAACGAATTAATCAATTGCTTATGAATATTCAAACGAATTCTTTTTTTTGAAATATTTTCATCTAAACTTTAATGAGTGAAGGTGTGGGTGCCTCTTCTCTTAATCCACACTCACCCCTAAAAATAAGAATAAACATCTCAAGATATATCAAAAGACCTAGACAAAATATTGATGGAGTGTCGAAAACTGCTCCAAATGATGGTTTAAGACGAGTTTTCTACACGTAAGAATGAAGCGAGGAAGATCTCTTATCCTCGTCTTGATGTGTCTTAAGAAGAGGGCATATCACCCTGCGTTATTTCATCCTATATTTGTTAACTTTGACTTGATTGAGAGCATTCGACCGAAGCGACAACTGTATATATAGAATCAGAAGTTTGTGCTGTTTTTGAAGACAAGTTTGCAAATGCTGTATCTGTTTTTTGTTCAAGAATATTAAGTGAGCTTCTGAAAAGCTTAAAGAAATTATTTTTAATACGTAGGATATTCTGGATATAATATTTATGTTTTATTACTGAGCTCCGGCTAATGACCGAGTCTAAGTAGATCTCGATAAGTTCTATCGATTTCCTATCTCATTCATCAATTTTGAATGATTCATCATCGAGAGAATGCCAATTAATAAATTTGAAAGAAAACTTTTCTTCATTGTGACAGAAGAAACACAAGTAAGAAATGAGAAAGAAATAAATAATTTTTACAATTAAATTTTTGTTTCAGAGAGAACTAATGAAGAACATTCAGATAAAATCTCTTTAAGTTTTATTTTCAAAACATAATCAAAAATATTTCTACTGAGTTTTTTTCACTTTTATAGAGCAAAATGAAAAGGAAAATAATTTTCTTAAATATTTTTAAATTCTTATTTGATTCGACTGAAAAATAACAATCTTTTCTACTGTCAAATGCTTCAACAACTCGCAAACTAAATGACGCACTTGATCTCTCAGTATTCAACCGACTAATTGTTCACGACAACGATCACAATTTTCACCTGTCGAATTCTATAAATCTAAAATGCATCAATATCACTGTGAATATGAAGTTTCACTCATTCTTTTTTTTCTGCGCAATATCACTCTATTTTCACTATCGGCGTATAGCACTTGTCGATGTAAGTGACCTTTTTGACAATGGGAATGACTTGCTCTTCCGTCACCTATATCCTCAAGGTGGTCTCTGCTATTAAACTGACTGAATTCCCGTTTCGGATATTTTAGACGTTTGCTGTTTCGATCAGTTTTCTTAAGTAGATTTTTTCTTTCTCTTATCAACAACAACAGTTAAATTATATTTTTCATTTAAATTTCATAGGGAAAATGCTACTAGTTATTTTCTTCATTTTCTGTCAATCCGTCTTATAAAAGAGGTAATAGAGCAAAAGATAATTGCATGTCAGTTATACTCTATAATACAAACTAAATATTTATGTAAGTGGAAAGAAAAAGAAAGATATTTTTATTATAAAATTATCTTTCTATATTTGTACATTTTTTTGAAGTCGCATCTGCGTGATAAAGTATAGTTGATGTAACGCTTTCATGTCATTTATAAATAATAACTCATCTGAAGCATCTATATAATTGAGGTAAAAAATATAAGTTTATCTTAACTATGAGTTTTATAATTTAGTAGCAAATCCATGGTAAAGTTTGTTGTCTTCATTCTTACTTACGATCTTGAATGCTCTGTAGCTTATTTTTTTTCTCAGTATCTTGATAATACTGGTAACAGGACTTTATTTGAGATAAGTTTTAGATAGAATTTTATCTCTCGCATTTATTATATTAAGATCTCGACTCAATTCTGTCTAATGTATTCCCAATTGATACTTCAGAGTCAAAAATACATTTGAATTCGAAATTAAATTAGACAGCGCATGAGAATATCTCTAGTCTTCTCAACAAACAATACGATCCTTTCATTTTACGCTGTAACTGTATAGTGCTTGGAAAGAGTTTATCAAGATATTTTTATAGACGCCAGATCTAGATGTCTAATTAACTATTAAATATACATTTTAGATTTCTCAATCGTACACTTAATAAGAAAAATGGTCACTTCATTCTTAAACATTAATCGCCTGTGTAATATCTACTTCGGACTCTTTATCTTTATAACGGGCATAATAGGTAATACAATGAACATCATCGTTTTTGCGAGTGTGCGTAACTATCGCACGCAACCTTCTACATTCTATTATCTTGTTGATTCAGCCCAAAACATTCTCATAATGTTGATTATTGTTGCCCCGCGTATTGCATATGATGGATTTGCATTAGAGCTAGGTCTTACTTCAAACACATGGTGTAAATTCAGAAGATATTTCAGCGGTATGCTTTCTTTGATTTCTTTTACTTACGCATGTTTGGCCACTATCAATCAGTTTTTCGTGACATCATCAAATAATCGTGTACGCAACTGGAGTAATATCAAGTGGGCTCATCGTAATGTGATCATTGTTATTGTCTTTGGTTGTTCATACGGTATCCCATATTTTTTGTTTGGCAACCTTACACCAAACACTGTCTATTGTACTTACACAAACAATGTTTTTCAAGTCTACGTACCACTATTCATTTTCACTGTACTCACTGTCGCAGTCAGTATTGTATTGATCACCTTTGGATGGTTGGCCTACCAAAATATTCAACAAACAACTGCTCTTGCTGATCAAGGAGCCCAGAAACAAGTGACTCGAATGATTTGTATGCAAGTCATACTAGTGGTTTCATGTGAAGCTCCCTATGCTATTTACAATATGTATATGTGGTGTATGTTCGGTATAAGTTTTAGCGTAGATCCTAATTCTATACAGTACATTTTCAACACAATGACTGGTCTCCTAACGTGGGCCCAATTTGCGGTATAGTTCGTTTATTATATATAGATTTCTCATGTTGTTTTATATGATTTCTAGGGTAGTTTCTACGTTTTTTTCATCTCTTCAAGTCGCTTTCGTCAAACAGCAACAAAACGACTTTTCGGTTGGTGCAAGACCAATCAAGTTGGTCCAAATGAACGAACGTAACAATACAGCCAGCTTCATCCAAAACTAGTTTTAACAACGATTCACTGATTGTTAAAAAGGGACCTATATGTGGTGTCAAGTGTTGTATTTTATGTTGTTGCTTTTTTCGCCGTTTGCTATTGTCCTTGTGTATTGTTTGTCGTCTTCACTAAGAAAGGATCATATGAAATAAAATAGTTTGCTTGCTCATTGTCGAAAAAAACAATATTTTCTCAAGCTATGATTATGCGAAACTACGTCGAAGGGTCTCATAACTTATAGAGTAAGACATTCATTATGGATTTTATTTCATTCGAATGTGTATTAGAAGCTAGACACAGCATCTATTAAACGGAAACAAACGAGTTTGTTTATATTTTCTTGTGAAATTTGATGATAACCATATTCACGTAAGAAAAAGAGAGAAAACGTAGACTTATTAATTATAATATAATTAATAGTGCTTCCTGGTCTTTCATGGCCCATCACCCGTGTGCGACGGAAATGAATATCCGATTCATTTCTGTTGATCTTCACCTATATTCACCAATAATTGTTTGACTTAATTTGAGAGCTATTAGGAACGACTTGATAGCTCTATTAATTGTATTATAATAAATAATAGATGTTTCACCGAATTATCATCTCTCCTGAGAATCAAACATATTCCAGTCAACTCACGTAGGATATCGTAGCTCCCGATTTGCCTGTGAAGTGATTCCAACTCTACTCTACCTGATTCCAGATCCAGTTCGACGGGCTCTGTCGATTCCACAAATTACTTATTAATTTCGAATGTGTTATCAGTGGCAAAATACAAATTTATTTTTTCTGAGTTACATATATCAATAGGACTTATCGTGATAATTGTTCAATATTGTGAATATTGAAAGAAAAATTGTATTAAGTATAATATTCCCTTTTCTGAAAGAAAGGGTTGTACAGCGTTAAAATAATGGGCTCAAAATACTAAGGGTGTGTGTGCGGGTGTAGTCATTGAAGAAAATAAACTTCATATTCACACGCACACCCGCACGCCCCCACACCCTCAAGATCGTCCTGAGGGTGGGGTGGCTGTGTGTGAGTGTGTCGTTATTCTTTTTACTCACCCATACCCTTAAGATTGCAGTTTTCAAAAATGTATGTGAAATCCATATAGCTAAAATATCATAGATTATATATTTTTTATTAGTAAAAACTAGTTGAAATAACAAACGATATTTGATGTCTTTTCTTTTAAAATACAAATTAACTTTAATCTAAATTCTAGTAGTATTATTTCATGTTTTCATACCCAGGTTGAACCACTGACGGATCCAGTAATATTGGACTGTGAATTATGTATTTCTGATGCAAGTAAAATATCGGTACTGCCGTCCACTTGTGAAGATTCCTTTTGAGAATAGATTTTATCATTTTCTGGAATCAATTTCAAAGTTTTGGTTGAAAAATCATCGGATTGAGCTGTTTCTCTTCGTAAATTTTTGGATATCCAATTTAGACATTTAATTCGTGGCTTCTTCAACATACCAAGCTGTTCACATACATTCCAAGCCATATGATCAATATTATTTTCGCAGGGTACCATAGGCTTGTCGTGTAACAGATCTTTCATCCAAGATCGATTGAAACTGAAATTGGGTTCAATTACGACTACGATTAAGCCTTTCTTTTCATCTCTTGATTTATTAGTAGAAATGATGTAAGATAATTCTTGAAATTTATCAGTACTATCACCGTAAGCTGTTGATACCAAGATAATAACCATTGTTGCCGATATAATATTAGGAGATACGTATTCCCACATATCATCAGACAGATCAATATTTTCATAGTCAACCCAAACTGGTATTGTCATTCTCTTACGCAACTCTTTTACAAATTCTCTACAAAACTCTTCGTCGGTATAATCATAACTAATGTAGATTTTTGATGACATTTCTTTTTTCTGTTCGTTTGGTGACATAATTTGCTGAATATTACACCAAATACGCTTTGCATCATCTCGTTTTGGACGATTAGCCAGACTTTCTATGATTATACAAAACTGTTGATTATCAATTAATTGTTTTAGATATTCTGGATAACTGGAAATCTGTAATAGAATTCGAAGTAAATATTTGACAGCACGTTTTTCAAGTTCATCAGGTTCTGGATCCAGCAGAGCTCCGTAAAGAGATAAAAAAAGTTCTATAAAGTAATGTATTGCTGTTGATTTTTCATTGATCTTATCTTCTAGAATATGTTTGATTACATATGTATTTGTGAAAGCCCGATCTAATAATTCCAACAATTCCGATAAATGATATCCTTCAAATGCTAAGTCATCGTTTTGATCAATTTTCTTACACAATTGGTATAAATTTTTACTAGTATCAAGAATGAGTTTCTTATTTTCTTCTGATTGTTCATCACTAGTAGCTAGTGCGATCAATGCCCGACCATAACTTTCTGTCAAGTCACTATAGTTTTTATTATTGATTAACTGCTTACGTTCCATCAAAATGTCAAAGGCTTTTTCTGTATGAAGGTGTTTTAAACCTGTCTTGTCTCTTGACAAATTGTAAACAATGCAAACGATTGGATTGCCAATATAACTCATATGAGACGCAAATATATCTGAACGAATCCACTGAATAGTTTTTTGAATATAACCAACATCAATACATATCGAAACTATTGCAAGTTTATCGGTCAAATTCCATAATAGAGTTAAAATGCAAGTTGTTACACATAGTATATGCCAAGAAACGTGTTCGTTTGTATTTGTTAGAAAGTTATTGATAAATTCTCGAAAAGAGATCATAAGAGAACTGTAACTGTTTCTAAATTCCTTATTCGGCTGAATAACTGCTTTGTAAACAAAGTTGATAGTATGGATTAGGTATTGGTTCAGAATATTGTAAAATTCAATACTTTTTTCTTGGGAAGATTCTTTATTGGTTTCGATAGAATCTAAATAATTCATAATATAAACATCTCCCATTACTAAGAATATTACCTTTAGTTGTTACTGTCTCATTTGAAAGTAGTCGTTGAAAGCAAATTTCAATAAAATTATCTTTTACAAGGTTCAGAAGTATTGCATCCAAAATATCACTGGCATTCACTGGAGAATAATCTTTTTTATTACGAATACACTTTATCAGATGATTCAATTTTTTGAACATTGACTGAAAAGGTTGTCGTGATATAAACAAATCAGATCCATCAACGGCAGAGATGCGTACAATTATATTTAATGTTGTAATGAGAAACATTGAACTTTTTTGAAAAATCATTTGATCCAATATTCGATCAATATTCTCGGTTATATTATTGAATATTGTCTCTATTTCATTGATATTTAAATTAGTTGATAAACTTAAAAGTTTATCGATTTCTCGAAGCAGATTGAGATAAATAGGTTTCATTGTTTCTAATGTCACATAATCAAGTTCTTCCATCTAAAACAAAATTTCGAATATATAGTAAATGTAAAATACGTATTCTATGAAAGAAAGGAACGGTACCACATACACATTAGTAAAATAAAAAAGGAAATACGAAGAATATTACTTATTCAAATATGCTTCTACCTTTTATACAAAAAAAAGATATGGTTGATAGAACGTAAACGCACATTTTATTATTAATAATGTTGTAGTATGAAGGACGTCGAAGAGTAGTAAAGAGAAAAAACTTCTTTCTTCCTGCTATTGCCACCAAGCAATTCTTACGTTTCAAACTTTCAGCTACATCCATTTTTTCTTAAATTGTATTGAATTAGTAAGAGATGATATTGAATAATGTATGTGCTCTATAGTTTTGTTATTTTTCTCATTTTCTGTTTCTTATTAGCCAAATACCTTGCAGAGCTGCTATCGAGTGATTGAGATTTCAAAGCGATCTTGTACATCATTCATCCCAAAAGAGTAAGTACATGTAATTCTGTGAAAACTTTAATGATATTCGATAAATTAGAACAGATAAAGAATGTTGCGTTTGCAATTATACTCATTCGAAAAATGACGTTCCACATGCAAGTGAAATATGGAACTGAAAAATGCACACAAAGCAAGAAGTTATCAGTTGTTATGGAATATTACCTCAATCAACTAATCCTGTACGTTATATTATTCTCTAGTAAAAGAAAATGATTTCGTTCTTTTCAGTACAGTATTTAGGATGTGATGTTGAAACAGACCTTGAACAGCTTTGTTTCGTATTTTTGGGTGTATGACCATTCCTGGTCTTATTATGCAAATGATAGGCGATAGAGAAAGAACTTTTACAAAGTATTTCTGATGGATTGTTACAAGTGGGTACAAGGAAGAGAGTATTTCAGAATTAGTCGGTGAAGTAATGTACAATTGTCAAATGAATAATTCTCACATAAACTTCAGCGCAATTGCTGTTGGTAAATGGGGCAATATTCATAATTATCATAAATTTGATGAGAGGTTTGATGAATTAATTTTGTTTTTAATTTAATATTGTTATAGAAAATATCAGCTTAGTTTTGCATGCGCCACACACTCACCAAATTATTTTGTAAAAATTCTGTTTTTAGCAGCGCCATCATCCTCCTTCTTAAAAACCAAAAATGCTGAACAAAACATTTTCGCCAGAATACAAATTAAGTTTGAAACCGAGTAGCTTTATTTAATATTTCTGTCAAAATTATAACAGAAAAAAATACTCCCATAATCATCACTAGCAATTTATTCCTCCTCTAAATAAATTTGATATTACCATTCACGATTTTCTTCTTTTTACATTCCGTCGGAGTAATTCATCAATCGCATTCGTTGCAAGAGACCCAATCATATTGTTCAAGATCACTAGTTCTGTGAGTGTCTAGATGAAAAAGTGGAGATAAAGACATGATATAGATATAGCGAAAACGGGGATTACTGTGTTCTGTCGTAATCCTTCAATCAAATGTTGAGCTCCAACAACTGTGATTCGATTTTGTCCGAGATCTAGTGTGGTGAGTGTCTAGATGAAAATGTGAAGGTGAAGACGTGGGAAAGATATAGCGAGAACGAAGATTACTGTATTCTGTCTTAACCCTTGACTTAAATGTTGCGCTCCAATACATCCGATTCCATTAAACCCGAGATCTAGTGTGGTGAGTGACTAGATGAAAACGTTAAGGTAAAGATATATTATAGATAAGAAAAGGATAATAGTTACTGTATTGCGTTGTAATGCGTTACCTAGAGACTGTGCTCCAACATGTTCGATTTCATTCTTCCGGATATTTAGTGAGATGAGTGTCTAAATAGAAAACTGGAGATTAAATTATGGCATGAATAAGGAGAGGATTAAAGTTACTGAATTGTGCCGTAATGCATCACCCAAGGATTGTGCTCCAACGTCTCCGATTTGATTGCTCGAGAGATCTAGTGTGGTGAGCGTCTAAATGAAGAAATGGAGATGAACACATGGTTTAAATAAAGAGAGAATGAGAGTTACCGTGTTGTATTTTAATGCATCGCCTAAAGATTGTGCTCCAACAACTGTGATTCGATTATGTCCGAGATTTATTGTGGTGAGTGTCTAGAGGAAAAAGTAAAGCAAAGTACAGATCAAGAAAATAACGGTTACTGTGTTGCGTTGTAATGCACTACCTAAAGATTGTGCTCCATCATCTCCGATTGGATTACTCCAGAGCTCTAGTGTGGTGAGTGTCTAGATGAAAAAGTGGAGATAACGATATGGGATAGATAAAGAGAGAATAAGAATTACTGTATTGTGTTGTAATGCGCTACCTAAAGATTGTGCTCCAACATCACGGATTCCATTGCCACCGATCTTTAGTATAGTGAGTGACTAAATGAAAAAGTGAAGTTAAAGATAAAGAGACAATGGGAGTTACTGAGTTGTATTTTAATGCATCGCCCAAAGATTGTGCTCCAACATCACTAATTCCATTGCCACCGATATTTAGTGTGGTGAGTGTCTGGACGAAGAAGTGAAAGTATAGACATAGTATGGATAAGGAGAGGATTAGAATTACTGTGTTGTGCTGTAATGTATCACCCAAGGATTGTGCTCCAACACCCCCGATATGATTGCTCGAGAGATCTAGTGTGATGAGTGTCTACAAGAAAAAGTGAAGGTAAAGAAATAGTATAGATAAAGATACAATGAAAGTTACTGTGTTATGTTGTAATGCAACACCCAAAGATTGTGCTCCAACCTCTCCAATTCGATTATTTCCGAGAATTAATGTAGTAAGTGCCTAGATGATGAACGAAGGTATAGAGATGATATAGATAAAGGGAAATGAGGAGTACTATATTGTGTTTTAATGCAACACCTAAAGATTGTGCTCCAACATTTCCGATTCCATTATGTTTGAGATCTAGTGTGGTGAGTGTCTAGATGAAGAAGTATGAGTAAAGACATGGTTTAAATAAAGAGAGAATGCGAGTTACTGTGTTGTATTGTAACGCAAAACCCAAATATTGTGCTCCAACATTATCGAGTCCAGTGCTCTCGATAATTAGTGTTGTGAGTGTCTAGATAAAGAACTATGGGTAAGGACATGATATAGATAAACAAAGAATGCGAGTTACTGTATTGCGTTGTAATGCATTACCCAAAGATAGTGCTCCAATATCTCCGATTTGATTCCATCCGAGATTTAATGCGGTGAGTGTCTAGATGAGAAAGTGGTGGTAAAGACATAGCATAGACAAAGAAAGATGAGAGTTACTTTGTTGTGTTGTAATGCATCACCCAAAGATTGTGCTCCAACATCACTGATTCTATTGCCACCGATATTTAATGTGGTGAGTGTCTATATGAAGTAGTAGAAGTAAAGATATGGTATAGATAAGGAGAGAATGAGAGTTACTGTGTTGTGTTGCAATGCATCACCGAAGAATTGTGCTCCAACATCTGCGATTTCATTGTTCGAAAGATCGAGTGTAGTAAGTGTCTAGATAAAGAACGAGAGGTATAGAGATAGCATAGATAAGGGGAAAATGAGGACTACTGTATTGCGTTGGAATGCAACACCCAAAGATTGTGCTTCAACATCTCCGATTTGACTGTTACAGAGATCTAGTGTAGTGAGCATCTAGATGAAAAGATGAAGAAAAAGCCATAGTACAGATGAAGAGAGAGAATAGTTGGTCAGTGTTACATGAGATTAGAAAAGTGAAATAAATGTTTTTGAGTTTAGTAAAGTATCGCGCAGCGCGTATTAGTATTCCATACGTATGATAAAGGATAGTTTTTTGTTAATAGTTAGTGAACAATTTTCATTGATGTGTATTGTTCGGACTCGTTATGTATTTTGCATCGAATTGGATCTTACTGATGGGTATGGTTTATATAAGTGAGAATATGATTTTTATGATTGCTTTCGATGCCATCCTATTTCGTCTTTGGGAAAGTGTGCCTCAGATGAAATCCGTTTCGGTGCAGTTGTTTTGGAAAAGAATCTGCTTTTGAAGTAGTATTCCTGTCTCTTATCCACATTCACCGTCATTTGCATCGATAGTCATGCATGTTCTTAATGGAGTATTTGCCAGAGATATTTCTCAAGGACTTGTCAAAATTGTATTAAAAAGAAAATAGTAATGTTTTTTTTCGTTCTTATGTAAACATTATATGTTTATGACGTCATACCTAGTTTGAAACGTGGAGTATTTAGATGAAATTAAAAAGAAAGAAAAAAAAGGAATTTATTTTTTTCTGATTATCAGTAAGGAATAGTTTATTCATGTATATTTTATTAGAGTCAATAGAAAAAAGTTTACCTGGTATCGATCGTAGATGTCTAAGATTCTATTGAATCGTTCACATACGTTTGTCATTGAGCATATAAGTGTAAAATCCGATTCATAATCCAGAATTCGATAGACAAGTTCTACCGGTAACGTATGGAAGTTGATGACAGTTTGATTTGCCATTGTAGACTGTTGATGAAATGTGTGCTGCGTCGACTTATATGTTGGTTATATAATGTGTTATTATTTTTTTT